CCCATTCCCAGCAAGCAAATCAGGAGTGGCTCAGGCACTTGGCCATCTCCAGCAGCCCAAGCCCATGGGGCATGCAGGAGTGCCTCCAACCTGCTGGCCTTAGCTAGTAAAGGCAGCGTGTGTGCACCCTACTCCCCACACTCCTGCAGAAGGAAATGCGTTCTGTTCACTACCAATCTAACCTATGCCACTTATAGGAAAGTGTTACTTGGATCAATTCTACCTTGGGCTTTTTGAATGTCTGTACCTGGCCTGGGAGTTTCAGAACCATATCACTGCCCTCTGCTCCACTTGAGGTTCTGCTCCCTTGCTCTCATTCATTCTCCCTCTGAACATTTATACAGCAGTCTTTCAGGCTAGTGCTATGGAGGGGATTGGAGTCTAAGTTAGGAAAGGAAGAGGAACTGTCAGTTCTACACAGAAGCCAGAAATTTCAACCCTCAGAGCCATGTTCAGTCGCAAGAATATTCTCTGCCTTAAAAGGAGACAGAAGCCCCAAATGTAATAGAGCCAAGATTGAGCTTTAAGGCACATCTACACTCCAGCAGCAGGTCCTGGCTGGACTATCCCCAAGTACACACTATGACCACCCAAATGCTCCAAGCCTAGAAACACCACCAGTTTAGATGGCCAGGGTTGTCTTTAGCATACACTCAGAGCAGTTGCAGAGGGAAACCTTGGAGATTGCCTAGTTTTGTTCCTCAGTGATGTAGGCCCATAAGAATAGTTTGCAGACATTATAGTAACATTGTAGCACTGTCCAAGTTACCAAAAAAAAAGTTTCCATTTCCTCAGATATTTCAAGGGCCCTTAGCTTTACATGCAGAAGTAGACCCTGAGAAGCAGGGAGTCAGCCAGACACTGCAGACAGCTTAACCATCCATCAAGATCTGAGGAATTTAAATCCTTGGCAAATAAAACCTGGTCCCATCACTTTAGCAGACCTCTAAAGATGAGCCAACATGCCATTTTAAGACAAAAAGCAAAAGACAAGTGTTGAAGAAATGCCTCTTTGTCCATCATTTAACTAGTGGATATTTCTTCCAAGCAGTCTTTTTATAGCAGACACCATTTAAACAAAATGTACGCATAGCTCCACTCTGCTGTAGGCAGAAGGGACAACATAGCATCCAAGGCACTTCATGGAAAGCAGCAGTCAAGGCAGCACATTTTTGAGACAAGCCAAACATCCAACAGAACGTTTTAGTTTGTCCATGTATTATAGCCAATGTAACAGTTGCTTCTTAAAAAAGAAAAAAAAAAAAAAAAGAGAGAACCCCATGATGCTCAGGACAGCAGAGCCTTTGACTGCAGCTCTTGCTAGCCATGGCAAGTTCCCTGCAGCCCAAGGCAGGAGGCTCCAATAGGAGAGGTGTCTGGTCATTCTATTTCCTATGTTATTAGCATCCTATAGCCCGGCTAGCTACAGTCCAAGCTTTCATTTCCAGTGCTTACTGGGAGACCATGTCATGTTTCAGGCTCATCTGTATGTTACAAGACTACCACTCAGTAACTTAAAGAAGAGTTCCCCCTTGTCTGTAAGATAGAATGACTGTCAGGGGGAGGGAGGAGGGAATTAGGTGACAGACCTGATGGGCTTGTCCATGCTAGAGTGTTTAAGATCACAGAGCAACTTCACCAGCAAAATTTCTGGCTCTTGAGTGCAGACTTGGATGGGCAGCTCAGTTTTCGTCAAGACCAGACACTGGCAAAGTATAGAAAAGCCTCGTCTCCCTCCAAAGGAGAAAGACTTATTGGTTACTTTTAATACTGTTTTAGGAGTTATGAAACTGTCATGTAAACTAATTTCATCTTACTTGGAGATGCACAGCAAACATTTTACAGGCTTTTTTGTTTATACTTAAATAGAGTTCCAACAAACTTGAATATTTGCTAAGTGTTGCTAAATACCCCTGGAGTCTACAGTCTAACAGCAGGGCAGCTAGTACTGGAGTAGCAATCTGGCCCTCTACCAGGCTCACCTAAAGGAATCATTTTCCTCTTGCGCAAGTGTTCCCTGCAGACCACACCCATTTGATAGTGCGTCAGCTTCTCCCAAGTGCTCAGCAGAAACTATACAGAACATGACTGGTCCAGGTTTACACTGACCAACAAGCTATTGCCAACCTAGATGTTGGCAAATGTGATACCAAGTAAAGAATTGGTACCAGACCCTCAGCTTGTTGAGTCCAAAGGAGAAGTTTACCACTCACTAATAAAACATCTATGAACTTGAATTAGTCTTTACCCAGGCTCTTAGTTACAAGTTGACCTTGCCACCACACCACATCCTGAAGCATTCCACAAGTTCTTGAAGAATTACATTTGAGCACCCATCACATTGGTCTCTCAAATGGGTAAAGGAGGGGGGTAGACAAAGAGAGTTATGAAAATAAAATACTTACTAGAATCCATCATTGCATACAGATATACTTCATAGGATTTACCTGGGGACAGCGAGCCATCAAATACACAAAAAGGTTTTTCTAAAGCAACTGTAGTAAAGGTGGGATTGTTTGTAGCCAGCTGGGGGCTTGCAATCTGTGGCCTCAGACTCTGAGCTGGAAACAATAGGTCAGAAATGGAAACACTTGGTTAACTCTTTTTCTACTATGGCCACCATCAACTTTTATTATTAAAATACACTCAAAAGGGCAGGAGGAGGGTTTGGACTAGAACTTGGAAAGAAACAGTTTTCTTGGCATGTAAAGCTTAGAGTTCTGAAGTTTACCCATACTGTATCAGAAGAAAACTTGGATAGGGTTTAGGGGAAAAGGGCAAGGCTCCTGACCTCCCCCACCAGGGAGTGTTTCCTAGTCAGGGCTTCCTTCTTAGCATCCCAGTTCAAGTTCTGGTTCTTCCCTTTATACGTGGGGGAAAATAAGTGTCCCAAATACGATGTCTAGGGAAGACTGTTTCATCTGGACCCAAGAAACCCACACCCAAAGCTAATGCTCTCCCACTGAATTTAGTCTTAAGGAAATCCCTTTTAATCAGGAGAGCCCAAGCAGCTAAGTTGAAGGCTTCCTTTTCTGGAAACACTTCTGAATTAAAGTTCCTCCCTTTCTCACCCTCCTGTGGCTGATCAGCAGCAAGCCACAAACATTTTTGAACCCTTGGATAGTGTAAGTTCCTCCAGAGCAGGTCTGATACCATCTCAAGTGCAACTTGGAAGCTCTGTAGAGGGTCAGAAAAGGGTATAGTCACTCTCTACCTCTCCCAGAGGAACACTAGAGAAGGCAAGTAGTAACAGTAGTTTAAAGAGAGGGTATAGATTGATCTGAACTTGTTCTGATCTTGAACTTGATCTGATCTTGTTTATGCTTTTCATGAAGCATAAACAAGGATTTCTGCAGGGGTAAATGCTCAGAGGTGAGTTCCTACAACCCCACCAATGCTCCCTAGAACTGGGCCAGCAGAGACAGAGCTCACTTCACTGGGAGCCTGCAGTAATCTTTTAAGTACTACTACTCCTCTAATATTAGAATAGGGTGAGGGAAGAGGAAGACACCTGAACCTCCAAAGGAAAAATAAATTTCTCTTAATTTTTTTTTTAGCATTGAGGATTAGAAATGGGAAAGAACAGGAGATGGAAAAAGATCACAGAGAGATACTCCTTACCTGCACACAGGTGTACCAGCCAGCAAAAAGCTGGCACAAGCCAACAGCTCCACATGCTCAGGCACTGAAAAGAATTGCCAGAAAAACAATGCTGGAGGGCAACTCCTGCCTCCAAGCCTAAAAAACACTCAGGTTCACTACTACAACCACCTACTTCCTCGTCAATAAACACCCCTTCCTTTCCACCTGCAGGTCTGCACCCAAATTACCTGCTGTCTGGCTTATCCCTCCAGCCAGACAGCAGCTCCTTTTCTATTCCCTCATGCAGCCTATTTACATGCTCTCCTCTCTGCACCCCCCTCTCTCCAACACACACGCTCCCTCCCTCAGCTACTCCCAGGCTGCAGGTAAGGAAGGACATAGAGAGCCTGTCTCCACCCAACATCATAGAACAAGCTCAGTCCAGGTTCTCACAAGCACAGCTGTGTTAGATTCCTTTTGATCTGTGCTAACAAAGAATTGCTTTGATTCTGCTTTACAACTTCCCACCCACATCTAATGGGAAAGAGCATTGAGAGGATTGGTAAAAGGGAAAAAAATAAAGGTCCCAAATCAGAAAGGGAGAGGATGAATATTTGAACTCTGAATCTAATCTACATTTTTAAATGAACTCTTGTCCAAACTTGTACAGCCCTAAGTGTGGAGGTCAAAATCCAGTTCCAGCTCTGAATTTTGCTTTCTGGGGTTGTCTCCTATTAAAACAGAATGGGCCTGATTCAGCTGTCTGTAATTCAGGTGAAAGGCAGTAAAATCATACTGATGAAGAGAAAAGGTTCAGCCCTGTTGCACTGAATTATTGTGCCTTCCTCATCCTGCATTCATGGATACTGGTCATGAGTCCTGATCACAGAGGAAACGATGCCAGATTTTAAAAGATATAGCAAATCAACCAGCTGACACCCTTAAAATAAATAGATAGATCAGAGAGATTTCTCAGAATGAATGGACCAATCATGCTTGAAACATTGCAACTACTCCAGACTTACACCACCACCATTTTGATCCAGTTTCAGTTCTTTCCCTAGATTTTAGATTTAAATTAGATTTAGATATCATTGGTTGCCCCTGAAATCAGTAATTAAATTATAATAATGTGGCTTCTTCCCCTGGGTCTCTTCCTCTTTCAGTCAATCAAGTGCTTTGTTTTGAAAACTATTCCTGTTACAAGTGATCTTCAAGCCTATGGTCACATGAAACTCCTAGTGGAATCTGGGAGAATTTTGCCTGACTGGGAGGTGCAGAGATAGACACATTACCTGCAAAAGTTCCAAACAAAAATATTAGGGTACTGGGGAAAATATGAAAAAATGCTGCATGTCATCTCTCAATGCCAAATGAACATGCAGTATACTTCAGCACATTCAGCTTTCCTGTATTTTAACACCCCAAAAACATAGCCTCCTAGTCCCCCTTAACAAGACAGGTAAGAAAAAAAAGTAGACCAAATAGCAACAAGTGAAGACCCAGAAAAAAGTCTTCCTAATAATTTCAGTTTTAAAATAAACAACTGGTTTAAAATGATCCCACAGACAGGCAAGCAGAATTCCCATTGTTGTCAATGGGACTTTTGCCTGTGTGAGGACTGTGGAATCTATTTTTAGTCTCCACCCTGCAAACATTTGCTTAATTTTGCTAAGATGAGTAGTGCAGTGGGACACCTAAGTACAGCTAAGCACCTGAGAGTTTACAGGATCAGTGTCTTAGTCAATATACAGTCAGATTTATTTATTCAGCAAGTTCGTTTGGTATAAGGTCATCCTGTCTGCCAGTGAAGTGGACCGGCCATTCACAAGAGCATTGTCCAGGTTGTATTACTTGAAAATGGTTGGGGTTTTTTGTAGTTCAGTGAATTCCAGATACAAGTAGAGAAATACAGTAATAATGATCAGATCTCTCTCAGCTTCATCTCTGCCAACAGAGAGGGTCAGATTTCATTTTCACTGACACAGGTGAGGCCATCCAAAATGTAATCTAAACCAAAGGCAAGAGAGAGGGATAAAGCATGCCATCCATTTTCAAATGTGTCAAGTAGCCTCCCTAGCCTTTTACATAGCTATTATTAGAGGGCATTTGCCTTTGTCCCTTCTAGTAGATGTGGATCTTATGGAAGGGTGTGAAGAAAGAAAGGATCAGTTCAAGAGAAAGGAGTGACATGGATGAGAGAGCAGAGGTGGCTGTAGAAAAGTGGACCATCAGGTGATGAAGACAGAGCAGAGGCAGCAAAGATCAGTGCTGATGCAGATGGAAGGGGTAAATCCAGAAGTGCAGCACTGTGGAGGGTTTTGAAAATGAGGACAAGGAGCTGGAATCTGATGCAAAGGAAGGATTTAAAATGTATATTCTGTGATTGAAGGACTGTCTGGGAAAGATGCAGCCATATAGAAGGCCTGTAGTAGTTCCAATGTGAGACCCAGAAGACCTGGATGGGAGGATGGGCTGGATCTGGGAACTGTCATGGGGTTAACTGTTAACCCTTAACAACTGGCAGAATTGGATGTAGTCTGGATCTGTAAAGAAAGTGAGAGGGAAGAGTCAAAATGCTTCATAAAAACTTTGCACCTATCTGGTGAGGAGGCTCAGAAAGGAAATGATTTATAGGGTGTTCATATTTACTTCAGAAGGAAGCATAAATTGTCACATTTGGGAACTCAGCAGAATATGGAAATTATGTAAAATGACCTTTTCTCTTCAGTGCTTTTATAAATGGTGTCAAATTATGAATGAATTATACCAAGTCTATTTTTGCTCTCTCTCTCTATGTATCTTATTCAGTTAGTCCATAAAGGCGCACATCTACCCTGCCTTCTGACCAATTCTATTGGACATTGCAATACCTTTTAAAGGCATTTCTTAAAAGTGCCAGGTGTCATAACTGAAAAGTGAAACCCTCCATTTAGCTATAGACCTGGTACAACATGCCTGGGTCATGGTTGTCGTCCATGTCCTGCGCTGTTCAATTTCTTCATCAGCGATCTGAATGATGGGGTGGAAGGTAACCTGTTTAAATTCGCTGATGACACCAAAATTTGGGGGGAGGTGAGCACGCTAGCAGGGAGGGAGAGATTGCAGAGGGATCTGGATAGGTTACAGGGGTGGGCTAACAGGAACAGGATGCGTTTCAATACGGACAAGTGCAGGGTGCTGCACTTGGGCAGTAGGAACCAGCAGCACACTTACACAATGGGGAACTCCCTACTTGAGAGCACGGAGGCAGAAAGAGATCTTGGAGTCATTATTGACTCCAAGATGAACATGGGCCGACAATGCGAGGTCATGGTTGGCAGGGCTAACCGGACCTTGTCGTGCATCCACAGGTGCATCTCGAGTAGAGCCAAGGAGGTGATCCTCCCCCTCTACGCGACGCTGGTCAGGCCACAGCTGGAGTATTGTGTCCAGTTCTGTGCGCCCCATTTCAAGAGGGATGTGGACAACATGGAGAGGGTCCAGAGGAGGGCCACCCGCATGATCCGGGGACAACAGGGCAGACCCTACAGTGAGAGACTGCGGGACCTGAACCTATTCAGCCTCCACAAGAGAAGGCTGAGGGGGGACCTGGTGACCGTCTATAGACTCACTAGGGGGGACCAGAAGGGTTTGGGGGAGACGCTGTTTCCCCTAGCGCCCGCTGGCATAACAAGGAGTAATGGGCACAAGCTGATGGAGAGGAGGTATAGATTGGACATCCGCAAAAACTACTTCACAGTTAGGGCGGCTAGGAGCTGGAACCAACTTCCAAGGGAAGTGGTGCTGGCCCCTACCCTGGGGGTCTTTAAGAAGAGGCTGGATGCCTACCTGGCTGGACTCATTTGAGTCCCGTTTCTCTTTTTGGGGTTTTTTGTTGTTCTCTCACCCTGGCGGGGGGTTGGGCTAGAAGATCTACTAGGTCCCTTCCGACCCTTAATCTATGAATCTATGAATCTATGGACAGCAGCAGTGAAGGCTTCCCTCTAGTCTATTACTTTCCCAGTCAGTGTACTTCCATCCTGACTGAGAGTACCAGTCTGTGTCTCAGTTAGTCATTGTTCTCTAAGCCAAAACTATACACAAGGAAATCAGTTGTCACAGGGTTTTTGTAACATGTATGTTTGTCCATTGGGAACTGGACTGAACTCACCAACTCATTTTAGAGATTCTCTTGAGCACCCACCTAAAATTTTATAATTGCCCAATTATCAGGACTCTTTCATCTTTCCATGAAGCATCTGGTTTTCAAGACTGTTGGAGACAGGTTCCTGAGCCATTGGTCTGGACCATAATAGCACCCGCTATGCTCCTACAATGATAATGAGTGACTTTCAGTGGCTAACTGCTAGTGGTTATTGAGCTAATTCACAGCATCGCTATATAGGGTAAGATGCCAAGTATGACACTGCTTGCTTTCATGGGTAAACCTTCCTATTGTACCAAGATTTCCCCCTCAGTTTTCCCAGAATGCTCTATTAGGACATGAGGTTCACTTCTTAAGAAATCTATCATATTAATTAATTGCATATTAATTTGACTTCCAAGAAGCATGATTCCTCATTCACTGTGGCTTCTGGGACTTCTCCTTATGTGGAATTCCATAATGTAGAGAGGTCTCTACAGGTATTTGGCCCACTGCAGGAATGACCTTAATAAATTAAGAAATTTAATAGCTTGCATTATACACAGCAGATCAACTGATCTTAATGATCTGTTCTGGCCTTAAAATCTATGGAAAGGTAATACAGCCTCCAGATGAATTAACCTTTCTTCTCAGGTTCTTTGTCTCTCTAGTCCATTTCCTTACCATGCAGAGGTCCTGAACCCAATGAAGAGCTTTCCCCGGAATCTGGGGAAAAGTAAAACAGTGTTCTGGAGGCAATCAAGCCATGCCTTGCTCTTGCATTCAGTACACAAATTTTGTGCAGACTAGATCCCATTTGTGTGCACATCTGAGCAGCCCACTGAGCCATTGATCTAAGTTAAAACCGTTTCATGTTACCATAAAAAAGTACAAGATACAGCTTTTCACAGAGAAACTTGTACTTCTCACCTGTCATCAATTGATTTTGTGCAAACCTTAACTTAAAAAGCAGATAATAGGAATACAAGAAAAAGAAAGACTTTTACATGGAAACCAAAGGCCAGACCATCAGCAACGGTGACCTAGCATAGCTCCAGTGAAGTCAGTTTTTGCCAACAAAAGATATGGCTTCACATATTTTTCACTACAGGATTCACCTAAGAGACCTCATC